GGTGTCATCACTTCCAGCAAGGATAGCTCTCATCAATTTGCTTGACTCCACCATTAAAGCTGCAAATTGGGCACGTCTTTTTCATCCCTGTGCCCCACTTTCTTTTTTCAATATAATGGGCTAAAAGAATAAATCAATAAATACTGACTACACTATTCAGTTGCAACATGCAAATTGTCAGATGAAAGGAAGCATTCTACTTTCCTAAGTTCCTAACCACAAATTATATTTTAATTATACAATTATAGTTGCAACTCAGGACTAGTTAGGCACATCTGGACCTGGTTTCACTTTAAATGTCATTATTTAGACCACCCATACTCATGTTAATTAATGTGACACAACAGTAAGAAAATCAATGCAGATGAGTGTATATGCTGGTAAATCATGTTTATGAGCACCATATAAATGACTGGCAGTTGCTAAATCACATTTAAAAACTCAATAGGTTTAACTACACGAACACTACAGGAGACAAGTCTGAAATTGCTCGAATGAAAATTACACACACTGTGGAGAAGGTTAAGTATGTATATAATACTTTGAACATTCACAATTACACTTACTGGCTTGAATTACACTTACTCACTTGAATTACACTTTTTTAAATCATTGTAATTTGTGTATATACTTAGCTTGACATTATGAAGTTTTTGGCAAGTTTTAAAAACATTGAAGTTAGAGGTTTTCACAAAGTTTTTCAGTTTTATTGTTACTTTCGGGGATAAAACATATTTCTTTTTCCCAAATGTATTGCCATCAGTCTTAACTAATGATGGTACTTGAAATTAATTTTTAGGTTTAAATTTTGTAATATAATTTTTATCATAAACCTTAGGTCTATTTGTTTGGGGTGTTTCATCTTCTTTAAACCATAATTTTTAGTTTATGTGACATAATTAGAAAAATACATTCTGGTACATGTGTGAAATATCTATTGATTTGTGAAATCTTCCAGTTACCACAAAGCCACTTGGGTAAGACAACTTCATGAAATAGTTAAATCAGGTATAATTCAACAATTTCTGCTGGGACCTTATGATTCAAGTTGGGATGTTAAGATTATGTTAGTGAGGCTTTGGAATTCTACTGCCTAGAGTTGTTTATTATTACCCTGCATGGCCTTGAAATAAAGATATAATCTTAACGTATCATAAATTTCAATAAATCTAATATATATAAGTGTCTATTTTTTGGTAACGAATTATAAATGTGTTAAAAATTAAAAACATCCAATTAAGAAGAATGTTGTCATTAAAATATTTGGTGTGGCAATAAAGTAAGGAGCCATTGAAGTCGTACCTATAAAAAGTAATCAGAGAATGACAATTTTTTTAAAAAACAAATTGTAAGGTAAGAGAAAAAAAGAATTTTCATATTCATTATAATTTAGAGCTTTTTCTAAACATTCTTTTTGTTTTATTTTATCTTATCTTTGACAGTTTCAACTATACTGGTTAGAATTAAAATGATATCATGGAAATGTCTTTCTGTATTTCTTTACATTTTGAATAATGAAAATACTATTTCTTAAAAACATGCATTTCCATTTTGTGAAAATGTTCATACTTTTTTTTACAACATGTGAAAAGTTGCAACATAAATAAAAAAAAGAATGCTGAAAAGGTGTAATGAAGTAGAAAGGTGGTTAAGGGAGAAAATTAACAGGTTTAATGAAACAGAAAAATTGCTAAGTGAAAAAATTAATGGGTATAATGAAGTAGAATGGTGGCTAATAAGGGAGAAAATTGATGGGTATAATGAAGTAGAAAGGTGAGTAAGGAAGAAAATTAACAGGTGTAATAAAGTTGAAAGATGGCTAAGAGAGAAAATTAACAGGTGTAATGAAATTGAAAGGTGGCTAAGGGACAAAATCAACAGGTGTTATGAGGTAGAAAGGTGGCTAAGGAAGAAAAATTAACAGGTGTAATAAAGTTGAAAGATGGCTAAGGGAGAAAATCAACAGGTGTTATGAAGTAGAAAGATGGTTAAGGGAAGAGAAATGAAAAGGCATAATGAAGCAGAAAGGCTTAAAAGGGAGTGGCACTTCTTTATTTACTACTCCTTGAATGGAAAGGAATAATAAAGTGATACACGTGTTTATGTTGTTAATGAAATAATATTAAGTTTAAATAATTATATAACTGTATCAAAACTTAATTCACTTGCTTCCGTCTGGAACTGCAAATAATACTTGAAATGCTGCAAGTTATTTTTTGTTTCATTTACTCTTGTTTCTCTTTTGTTAGGAATCTTCCTCGAGCTATCTACATATCACTTCCTCTTGTAACTATAGTGTATGTTATGACCAACGTGGCTTATTTCGCTGTACTTTCTCCACATGAAATCTTGTCATCTAATGCTGTTGCAGTGGTAAACCTTCATCCACTTTTTGTTTTTGTTACTTATTAGAAAGCTACTCAGTCCATTTGATTTCTTCATCAACTTGTATTGTAATTTAGAATGGTGGAAACACATTTTCACTCAATAATTGTGATCTTCAGACAGTTTTTTTTAATCATGGAAAATAGATGATTATTATTACTCAAAACTTTAGACTCATAATGATTAACTTACCTGAAAACTAAACATGAAAAATGTGTGCCCATTTTAAGATTTAAAATATATATATAGTTTATATGGTTTGGAATATTTTTCTTTACATGCAGACAGTAATTAAATAGATATTAAGATTGTAGATAGATAGTTATGATATGCAGCAATTCCTGTTCTTTATGTATTCAAACATTTAAGAAAACAAAGTGAGTAGTATAATAATGTTTTTATAAACAGTTGATAGAGAATGTTATTCAGCCATTCCTTGTCATTTTATTGTTACACTTCATTTTTCAAAAAAGTTCCACATTTTTCATAGACTTTTGGAGAGAGAATGTTGGGAGTGATGGCATGGGTCATGCCTGTCTCTGTAGCACTTTCAACTTTTGGGGGCTTGAATGGAGGCATTTTTGCATCATCAAGGTATGAATAGTTTTGTTTTCAGTAGTCGCTTAAATCTACAAATTTTCATCTAATTTGTTTTTCTTATTGCATCATCTTTGTAATTGGTGGCATATCCTCTAAAGGCAAAACCTCAGTCAACTTGTAAGGAAGTAATAATGAAAAAACAAGAAATCTGTACTAACTATAATTCGGTTATTTAAGTTGTAGGTGATTGTATGTGTACACTGACTGGCCACTTTAATAGGACCTCAATCAAAAGCATTATGGGCCACTTTTTGATGTGATAACAGCATGAATTTGGAGTGATATAGACTTCACAAAATGCAAGAAAGTGTTATATTCAAATGATACCCATTCTTTAGGAAGTAAGGTTTACAGTTTGCTCACAGATAGCAGAGGAATAAGGTAACAGTTTTAACATTCAAGTTCATCCCTAAAATGCTCAGTTGATTAGTTCTCGTGATTATTTTGCCAGTGAATCTAACTGAAACCACTTATATATTTTTTGAACCAGGTTTGGACAATATGAAAATGGTTGATTATTGCATGATCATCTTTGAAAAACTTTTGCCCATAAAAGTGGAAGTTTAGTATCTTGGGATGATCATGATCATCACAATATTCAGGAACTTTGAATGTTATCCATCCTTCTAAAGGAAATAAAGGAGCTAATCTATGCCATGAAAACATTCCCTCACACCTTTACTTCACCTCCAACATCTTGCATTGTCAGAATGATACAAGTAGTGTCAAATGTCTCATGGTTGTCTTCATACTTCTACTCAGCCATCAGTACATAAAAATATGATGCATGACTCATTAGATCATGTTTTCTATCATTCAAAGTCTAACTTTGGGTTTTGAGTGTGGCTTTACTATTTTTAGTTGCATTATGACTGTTTAGTCCAATATCCTTTTCATAGTATGGTTGGAAATTTGTGAAACATGACAAATCTTGAAGAAATTTGCCAATTAGAACACACTTTGAAGTATGTTGCACTTTATAAGCTTGCTCGGACATCTTTTATCTTTTGAATTGTCACCAGCATTTGACATCTCCAGTTTCTTTTAGTGGCAGCCATATTCTCTTTTGACTGTTGCTATTGATAAATGCTGACAGATGAATTTGAATAGCCAGTAAAAAAAAATGTATTTGATAAATGGACACCTACTATCACATCTCTTTGAAAGTCAGGCAGATATCTGTTCTCACCAGTTGTCTTACAGAATAACCATCATATTACTACATAATGATCACCCACTAAAAATTTATCTTTGAAACTCAGAGGAACTTACTCTTATCTCTTATTATGTTGCATACTAATTATGACATGACTTCATGTCTGTATCTGTTGGACCCAAACAGTCATCTAACACATTAGAATATCAAAATATTTTATACATGCATATAAGTGTGTGTGTGTGGAAGTGTCCTTATAGTGGCCAATCACTGTAAAATAGAAATAAATATTCCCCTTACTTTAATCAATACATGTCAAATATGTTTGACATGTATTGATTGACCTTTATGTGAAACTTTATGAACAACAGTTATTCAATCAGTTTTTAATTTTCTTCTCATATTGCAATGTTTTAATTATCCCTATGGATAAGTTATATAATTGGGTAAAAATAAGCCTACTTTGCAATTCTTAATGGTTCAGATCATATGAGAACTGAGCAGTAACTAAGCCTACCAGTATCTTCCTTGTATGAAGTTTTTATAATCATCATGTAGTCTTCCTTCTGAAGTTTAGAAATTGATTTCAGGAGTTATTGAACTTGGTTTTGTTTTAATTATAAGTTGATCACTTAAAATGGGAAAAAAAAGTATAATTTTGTTTTACATTTGTTTTACTTTTAGGTTATTTTTTGTAGGAGCTCGTGAAGGCCATCTTCCTGCTTTCTTAGCAATGATTAACACTTCTTACTTTACCCCTATGTCGAGCCTGCTGTTCTTAGTAAGTAGTTAAAACTGGTTGTAATAGATTTCTGTTATTAAGATCACATGATACAAGTTTATTGACAAACCAACAAAAAGTGATGCTAGATTTGTGATGGTCACAACTTTACTTAGTGGTTAACATACCAAGTTATGAACCAAGGATCCTTGTTTTGCATCCTGTAGCTGAAAAATCACACTCTTCATTTTGGGGCCATGCTGCATTATAATAGTTATAGTCTAATCCTAGTATTTGATCAGAGAAGTCTAAGGGTTGGTGGTGGGTACTGTTAACTAGCTACTTTTCCTCTAGTTGATCACTTTACAATCTCTTGTGTAGCTTTGTGCAAATATATGAAACAAACAGATCTATTATTTGATTGCTTCACTTTGGGAGAAATATTTTCAGTGAACTGTTTATGAGTGATCACCTTGTTATTTTCTTTTAACAATGCAATTTATATTGTGCCACATGAAATAATAGTTGCTATTAATTACCTTTTTGCTTATATTTTTTAAAATACAAGTATCTGTTACTTTGTAGTATATACATGAAAAATGTAATTGTGTTAAGAAATGAAGTGTTTTATATATGCATACACACACACACACACATTTTAGTTGTATTAAAATCAAAAAGTACAAAAATTGGTTTTAACAAACTTCTGTAGGTATGTAAATTGAGCAATTTCACCTCAAAGATATTGGCAAAGATGTTCACTTACTTAAAACAAAAACTGAGACAAATTAAGTCTCACTTTCACATTTAAACTTTTATTATTTTACATGGACGTTGTTCATGTGTAGTTGTCTCAAAATGTCTGTTGGAAGTCAGTGTTTAAGTCTCAAACCACCCTTCGGAGGTTTGGTCTCGGACCATTTGGTTCTCGATGTTGTACAGGTCTCAAAAACGAGACTGGCTAAATTTAAAACTTGTACCAGTATTTAGACCTACCCAGGATTATCAAGCACTAAATGTTGATTATGCAGCAGTTCATATGAGGCATTTTATAGCATCAAAGATGTTTTACTAGTAAACTCCCTTGGTAGTTGGTACTACACCTTTGTAATAATGTTTATAATGCCTCCTTTATTTTTACTTATGTCACCAACTGTCACGTTACCTGAACGTCACTCTGCAATTATAACATGTGCTATTCAAAAATAGTTGCTATTATACAGTGCGTTATCCATAGGCTTGCTACAAGTTTGTATGAACTTCATCTGGTGCATATATTTACATTAAATGTTAGTGATTATCCTCGATATTCAACATGTGTAGTAAATCTGCTGTGATCCTGTTTGGCTTCAAAGATTATAAAGAATTCACTGACACCATAAAGTCTTGAAAAAAGAACAACAGTTTTTCTTTTGTTTTATTTGTTGACCTTTTGGATTTTTTTTATTCTTTCATTAACTTTTTTGGTCGTTGTTTTTTTTTTCATAGGAGGGGACGTTAAAACAAAGACTTTGGGGTTCATGTGTAAAAGATTTGCAATTAAAATGATAATAAAGTTTGTTTGACACATGATTTCTGTTCTTGCTTTATTTTTTATTGTGTAATTTATTACAAGGTCTTGGTCTCGACCCCTAAGGTCTTGTTTCCAAACCCTCAGGTCTCAGTCTTGGTCTCAACTACAACACTGTTGGAAGTATCAGTTATTGTACAGCTGATGTTACATCCATAAATAATACATATTATTTCATATATATATATATGTATATATATCTTACATTGTTTCAATAAAACAAGCTTTTCTGAATAATTTGCATTACATATTGAGTATTCAAATTATTGGTTAGACATTATAGACATTATTTTTTAAAAAATATTGAAAATGAAGAACTGCTGTATTTGGGTTAGAAAAAAGATGCATGTAGTTGATTACCATTAGTGAATGCTAACTAACATGAGGCCAGCTTTTGGTACAAGAGATGTTCCATTTTTAGTGCAATAAAACCCTGTAACGTCTTATTAACTTAGACCAAGAACTTAGGATTCCTTGGATCAAGACTAAGCAGGTAGTTTTTAAGTTCTTAAGTTAACTTATACAAAAAGTTCCTACTGACTTCAACTGGAATCCAGACAAGAGTAACAACAATTCTCTGGATCTATATTGAAGAGATTATCTTTAAGTTTTTATGTTAACATACATAAAATTTGGTCACACTAACTTTAAGAAGTTAATGATGAACACCTGTATGATCAGAAATTTTAGATGTCATCAAGTATGTTGAAAATACTAAAAGGCGTGGCTTAGTGATAAGTTAATTTTCAAATATTAAATTGAGCAAAAGTTGATTTCTTTGGCTTAGTTTTGAGACATTAATACCTTCAACAAGTATGCATTGCTGTGAAAAGTGGACTTTATGCTTCTCCTTTTTTCATAATAGCTTTTAAACACTTTATGTTTTATTTTATAAAATCTCATTATATTATATTGTTGTCATATGGCTCATAGCCCACAGATGTTTAAAATAGGTGGTGAACTGATCAGTTGAGTTAAAAATTTGTTAGAAATCTAATTTGAAGCTAGCTGTTATCTTACTGAATGTTTGACTGAATTATTTGAATTCCAGGGAATCCTTACATTAGCCTACTTATCCACAGTACAAGTGTATACACTTATCAACTATGCTGCATTCAGCGAGGCACTTTTTGTGATGTTCTCCGTAGCAGGCTTGTTGTGGTTGAGACAAAAACAACCAAATCTGAAACGGCCCATCAAGGTATTACTCAACAAGAACTATGGACAAAGCTTGTTCATATTCTAATTTTATTTAAATTTTATAATCTATTACACATTAAAAACTTGTATTTATATAACATTATTCGTTAATATGCTGCTGGCCCGGCATGACCAGGTGGTTAGGCCGCTCGACTCGCAATCTGAGGGTCACGGGTTTGAATCCCCGTTCTACCAAAACATCTCGCCCTTTCAGCTGTGGAAGCACTATTATGTAACAGTCAATCCCAATATTCGTTGGTAAAAGAGTAGCCGAAGAATTAGTGGTAGGTGGTGATGACTAGCTGCCTCTAGTCTTGCACTGCTAAATTAGGGTTGGCTATAGCAGATATCCCTCGTTGAACGGTGCACAAAATTCAAAACAAACCAAACTAATATGCTGCTTTCTAGCAGTTGACATTAGATGTTATTTTGTTTGTTTAAAATAATGAGGGGGAAAAA